TCCCTGAATTTCTGAATTTCTGAATTTCTGAGTTCCTGAATTCCTGAATTTCTGAATTTTTGAATTTCAGAATTTCTGGATTTCTGAATTTCTGAATTTCTGGATTTCTAAATTTTGTGAATTTCTGAATTTCTGAATTTCTGAGTTTCTGAATTTCTGAGTTTCTGAATTTCTGAATTTCTGAGTTTCTGAATTTCTGAATTTCTAAAATTTGTGAATTTGTGAATTTCTGAATTTCTGAGTTTCTGAATTCCTGAATTTTGGGATTTTCAAGTTATTGGAATTCTAATTTGTTTATTTCCTTAATTTTCGGAATTTTCTGATTTTTCAAGTTAGACTCTTCTAGAAATTTCGATTTGTTATTAAATTTCGTAAAAATAACGGAATTCTCGAAAAAATCGACAAATTCTGGTGTTCAATTTCTGGATTCTCAGAGAAGTCTGGAACTTTTTTTTAAACTATTCAGCTTTTTGAATTTTTCAAAATTTGTAGTGTTGTTTTTTTTTCATTTTTCGCGATTTCGACAGCTTCCCATCTTGTCAAAGATCTCCCCGTTCGTCAATTCATCACATTCTTTATCATTATCATCAAGTCATCCCTCTCATGATACACCCCGAAAATTCCTTCTTTCTGCTTATCAGCTAATCAGTGTTTTCTTCTTTTTCTTCTCAAGAATCTCATAGCCTACGCTGTCCATATACAAACTGATTTGACATAATAATTGGGCGTTTTTCTTCTCCTTCTTTTCGGTTTCTCATTCTACATGATTTTCCCCAAATTTCGCCCAGAAATAAGCGTAAAATTGGTATTTTGCTCATATTTTTTAACGAGCTGTTAGTGAATATGCTCCGATGAGCAATGATGGGTCTAGGATAGACAACAAAAAGTTTAGAAAACTGAAGTCAAGAATCTCATCTGAAATTCTGATGTATTTTTGCCTCGCCCCTCCTCTAGTTTGGTCGTTTTTCTCCGAAAAAAAAGACAAAAACGAAGAGGGAGATAATCGGTTTAGGCGGGTAGTTTTGGGACACACACAGCACCCACCCCACTTGTTTATTTGTTATTCTTCTAGTGTCTTGTCTTGCCGGTTAGACTGTCCTAGGGTCTAGGTTAAAGGTCAGAGTCTTGGAAAATTCAAAATTGGGCGAGAAATTTGGATTTTCGACCCCAAAATCAGCCGGTTTTGACCGTATTTCTAGAGCCAAATAGGTCAATTTTGAGCTCCAAAATAGCCAATTTTGGACCAATAAACGGAGCCCAAAACTTACTAAATTGAAGGTCACATTTTGGAAAATGGAAAATTAGAATTTTTGGAAGTTTTTGGACAACAAAATTCGGTCAAAATGGCCTAATTCTGGAGTCCGAGAATCCCAATTTTCAAAAGTTCAAAAATTGCCAAATTTAGATCAAAATTTACAGATTTTGGTTTCAAAAATCCAGTACTCCTATTTCTACTAGTCAATGTTCTGGCCCGCTGATAAGTTATCAGCTCCTCCTCCACCTCTCCATCTCCTACTGTCAACCAACATGACTCATTTCATTTAGTTGTCTTTCAACAACTTTACACAGCTCTTGCTCTCCAAGAAGCTGTTCGTTCACTTCCCTTTCTCCTCCTGCGCCTCTCTCTCTCTCTCTCTCTCTCTCTCTCTCTCTCTTTCTCTCTCTCTCTCTCTCTCTCTCTCTCTCTCTCTCTCTCTCTCTCTATCACAAACTTGCAACGTGTATGTGTTCATGATGATGATGCGATTTCAACGGAAAAAAGAGAACGATCTAGTTTTTCGACAACGTATATAGACAAACAGAGACATACATGTGCAAGTTGTGCTGCCACGTTTTGACCAAAACTGTGTGAATCAGCGGCTGAGAGGGCTCCGCCGCTGCACAGATGGCACATAGGAACACACGTCATTTTTTGATACAGGGGCCTTTTGTGGGTTTGCTCAGGGTTCTGATGATCAGTGAGGGTTATGGTAGTTTATCAATAGCCGTGTGCTACCATACTACCATGGCTGGCCTTCGGCCAGACGACCGGCATTACCTACAACCTAGTGATTAAGGTCATAGCTAAAGTGAGGCCAGTTCTATGAGAAGGTCATAATGTCCTGACCAGAAGCTAGCTAGGTAGGGAACTATCTGAGCATGATTCCAAGATACGGTTCATGATCTATATCATTAGAAAGCCCATGAAATTCGGATTCTGAATATGTTTCTGTTTTTGCGAAACGGCCGTGAGCTTTGAGAAAATTAGGTCAAAAGATAATTTTCAGTTGATTTCTAGACTGTGATTGGTTGTTTTTTTAATTTGCAATGAA